CGAGTAGTAGAATAGAGCTGGTAAGAGATGAAGATGCGGAGAGGAACAGAAGAGCATCTGGTAAGAGTGATAAGGATCGGGAAATGAAGAGCATATCTGTAAGGTATTTGTGTGTTGATTTCCACTGTCAGTGTCTGCAAACATTCGAAACTAACCAAAACCTCTGGAAGTAAAGGTACTAGTGGTAGTCTCTAAGATCTGACGTGGAAGATTGGTAAATCATTAAAACAGTTTAGGATGAGATAATGAAAAGGAAACTGTACAATTAGGAAGTGAATATAACATAGCATAGTTCGGGGCAAAATGAGACATTGGCAGCCCCAATTGCAAGTTCCTCGCTTCGTAATGCACAATGATGCTTACATAAATTGTGAAAATATCATTGAAGGCTCTCTTATGTTCTTCAACCGTCGTTTCGTTTGGAATGACAAGCAAAATGTAAGGTGTGATTTTTTTTCCTCCATTTTTAAATCCTTGCGCCGACACTCACTGCTTTAAGATGGGCTCATTTCAGTTTTGTTGAATAACCAAGTGCTTCCTGTTTTTAGATTTTTCGATGCCTTTTCTTCCATCTTGCAAGTGTGAATAGGCTAATTTTCAATATATTTTGGTTGTTGCCGATTCGAATCATTCTTCTGCCACTGGGGCAAAATGAGACAGCACGCAGCTATTTTGGCCTAGCCTGTATTTTTTAAGAAGGGGCTTGGCTGTCTCTTAAGTGCTCTGTAGTTCAAGATGGCACGGATCTTAAAAAAATATCTCTTAAACTAGTCCCGTGAACAAGGAGGTTGACAATATATTGAATGAAACTGATACAGCATGAACTTTTTTTTTATACCACCAAAGGTATCAGTGCAGGTCAAAAGATACAGCTAAGAAAGAATGGAAGATAGGAAGTCAGCTATTTCCGTAAGAAAAACATGTTTGCTGATCTTTTTAACTTTTCAAGAGACGGAGTAGTTACAATCTGTGAAGGCAATGTGACTTTTATACGATCGACCTACAGCAAATGTCTTTGAACTGAGGGGTCATGGAACTTCTAGTAACTTGCAGGTTGATAAGAATCAGGTAAAAACTTATAGAGGGAATGTGAATTATCAGTTACAGTTTCTTATTAGAGTGATAGAGTCCCAATAACCCTACGATGTCCAATGTCCAAATTTAAGTCAGGCAGGAGACATTTAATGGAATTAAAAGAACGATCAAGCAGTCTCAAGTGTGGCAGTGCAGCAGATAACCACACAGGAGAACAATACTCAAAATAAGGCAGAATAAAAGAAAAGAAGCACCTATGAGTAATTTAATCTTCACAGATCTTCTTGCACTTGCTAATGATGCCTAACTTAGATGTTTTTAGACGGTACGAAATTACGAAAGGAAGACTGACAGGGGAAGCTGTGATAAGGAAGAAATGAACATGTCCTTATTGCGGTTAAGAAAAATGTCTCCGAAGGCTACAGAATCACTCGGTGTGCCTAAGATGCTCTTGACAGAAGCGTAAGGAGTAAACCCTCGCGAAGAAGAAAATTTGTGCAAAGTGCAAAACTTGGGTTCATGAGAACTGTTCGTGGGTAAGTTCCACGGGCAAAGTCTGTGTTTATATAATGTCTCATGGTCATATAGACAGGTTTTTTATATTTGACTAATGAAGATTTTTTACATCAAATTGCTTCAGTTAGGTTACTAGTATTTTGTATATGGTGATTTTCATTTGTCTTGTGCAAAAAAGAAAAATCAATAATCGAAAATTTTGACTATTTCTCTGAAGTGTCTCATTTTGCCCCCAACTACTTCAAACATGTTTGTGTGTATATATATTTATATACATGTATATTATATATATATATATATATATATATATATATATATATATATATATATATGTATATATATATATTAAATGTATATGTATATGTATGTATATATATATATATATATATATATATATATATATATATATATATATAATATAATGTATATGTATGTATATATATATATATATATATATATATATATATAATATGTGTGTGTGTGTGTGTGTGTGTGTGTGTGTGTGTGTGTGTGTGTGTGTGTGTGTGTGTGTGTGTGTATGTGTAAGTGTGTGCCCGTGTGTGTGTGTATGTGTGTGTGCGTGTGTGTGTATGCGTGCATGCGTGTGTGTATGCGCGCGTGTGTGTGTGTGTGTGTGTGTGTGTGTGTAAGTGTGTGTAAATGTGTGTGTGCGTGTGCGTGCGTGCGTGTATATGTGTGTGTGTGTGTGTGTGTGTGATCATCATCATCACCATCATCATTTCATTGAATTTACTTTTACCTTTCAGCATGTCTCTCCGATGCGCTCATATCTTGGCTTTTTTCATCGTTAACCTGGATTCACCCTTGACCCAGGCTGCTGTTTTCAGGATTAGCAAAGGTGAGGAAAAAAATGCCATAGGTGGTGAGCGGTGATGGTGGTGATGAAAGTTATGATAATTAGGATAACAGTGATATTGATAATGACCATATCAATGGCAAAGATAACAATAACAACAATAATAATAATGTTACTGATAGTAATGAAAATGATAATGATAATGAAAATAATGATAATAGTAATAATGATAACAGACAAGGATAACAACAATTATAACAATATCAGGAAATATATTTGTGATTGTTACATTTACTGAACACGAAAGAAAATTTTATCATGAGTATTGTTATTTATTATAGTTTTATTACAATTATTGTCATTATTATCCTTATCACCAGTATCAGTATCATTATCAGTTTTATTGTCACTGTTTATTTTCATTGTTATTTACATTATTTCCATCATTATTATTATCATTATTGATATTATTATTTTCCTTATCATTAGCCTTCATAGTAGTAGTAGTAGTAGCAGTGGTAGTAGTAACAGTAGTATAGTAGTAGTAGTAGTACCACTAGCAATAGTAGTAGTAGTAGTAAAAGTTGTTATAGCAGTAGTAGTAATAGTAGTATAGTAGTAGTAGCAGTACACTAGTAATAGTAGTAATAGAAGTAGTAGTAGTAGTAACAATAGTAATAGTAGAATAGTAGTAGTAATAGTAGGAGTGGTAACAGTACGGTGTTTTTCCTATCATTACCAGCATTATCATTATTGTCATCTTAATACAGGCGAATGGAAGTCCTACGAGCCCCTGAGCATAAAGGCGAATCTTGGAAACGCGACGATTCTTGACAAGAAGCCAAAGCAAGATTCGAAACAAATTTCACCTGATATATAAGGTAGCTGGCCCACACACATATACATGTATACGTATACACACACACACACACACACACACACACACACACACACACACACACACACATATATATATATATGTGTGTGTGTGTGTGTGTGTGTGTGTGTGTGTGTGTGTGTGTGTGTGTGTGTGTGTGTGTGTGTGTGTTGTGTGTTTGTGTGTAAGTACATGTGCATATGTGCCCTTTGGTGACTGCCCAGGAACTAAAAACTCAGCTCAGGGTGTGAAAGAGCCGTATCACCGAGTGTTTTGTGCAGATATTTCCTGCTGATCCATTAATTAATAAACATTGATTATAAACGTGAATGTTAGAGCTCTCTTGATGTCCGTTTCTCCCATCAGTGAGGAACCGCCAAGTTGAAGGATGGCTATACAGTAGGCATTTCAGGCATCCCTGCTTAACTGCTGAAACCGGGTGGAGAACAGATAGTTGTGTTGATTGCATGTTGTCCTGGCTGCTGTCTGGTATTCTGGTACCATACCGTCCCCAACGATTTGCTACAGGACATATCCACTCCTCTTTAGAAGAGATATAGCATTGGCCAGAATACTAGGCAAGGGGTTCGCTCTATACCTTCTGAGACCTAATGAGTAACCACCTACTTAGGTACTAGAAGACGAGGTGATCTGGGTTCACTCTTGTTAGATGCACAGCCGGCTTGTATTCTTGTGGTGTGTGTGTGTGGGAGGGGGGTGTACGCGTGTTTGTGCATGTGCGTGTATGTGTGTTTGTTCGAGTATTCATACAGGTAGATATTAGTAAAGTATATATTGCCCAAAAATGAAAATTACTTTCCCAAGACTATTCTGATCTCTGTTGATGGTAGGGAACTCTTCGTTATCAAAGATCAAAGAGGGGAATGTTAGTTTTACTTCTGGTAATTACAATATCGAGTAAATTATATAAATAGTTATGTGTCTATCTCTACATGATATCTTGAAGGGCACTCTCATTGGCTAAATATGATGACGTCATTTGCTATGCCCCAGTTTACCAGGTCAAACTTTGTGATATATTATGTTAAGTATTTTTCAGCGCAATACTTTAAAAATTGCTCAGTAGTAATTGTGATAGAAAACTATTGGAAAATGAAACAAAAACAAAAAAATAATCTTAATATTTACAACGAATAAAGGCAAAGAGGTGGGGCTTAGCTCACAAACTGCTAACTAGGGTTTTCATCAAGGCAGAGTGGAGCTACCTGTTTCAAACTACCTTGGGTATATGCGTGAAAACAAACAAGTAACGAATAACCGTTTTTATTTCTTTTAAGCCTCTGGTTATTGCAATATCAACCATCGTGGGCGTTATACTCCTGTGCATCGTTGTCTTCTTGGTGTGGTATTTGTGGAAGTGGAGAAAAGTTAAGGAGGCAGAAAAGCAGGTATGTATAATCTATATATATATATATATATTATATATATATATATATATATATATATATATATATATATATATATACATATACATGCACACACAAACGAACACACACACACACTTATATATATAATATATATATATAATATATATATATATTATATATATATATATATATATAATATATATATATATATTATATATATATAATATATATATGAATTATATATGTATATGTAAACATACATTTATATATATAATATTTTATAATGATATCATAGTAATAGCCATGGCAATGACAGAAAAGAGACAGGGAGACACATTAGTATAAAAAGGAAATTTCAACCTTTCCC